ATGCAAGAAGAAGAAGAAGAAGAAGAAGAAGAAGAAGAAGAAGAAGAAGAAGAAGAAGAAGAAGAAGAAGAAGAAGAAGACTTTTATACGCTCCATACCTTTTCATGTTCAAACTTTGTCATTATGTAAACTTCGTGCTTCTTCCATTTAGCGATAGCCTTTTGAGCATGTAAGCCGAATAGATATGTTGAACCCAATAGCAATAAAAACCAGATAGCTCTACGAATAGTCCATGGCGAATCGAACAAGAAATGCAGACCATGTAGAGTGCTGTAGCCCCAGAAATCTTTACAGAGCTCTCGTATCTTGGACGACATGGACCTTTTTAGGAATTAACAGTTGTGAAAAAAAAACTGAAAAAAAGTAATCACGAAATCACTTGCTAACGTTTTTTAAAACATTTTTTAAGAACATTAATCCTTCGTCGAAGTCACTTAAAGGATTAACTCATCATTAAGTTATTTCACGGTGTAAAACTGGTCTTATTTCACGACTGTTTCTTTAGAAACACTGACGCAGCTCATACTATTATTATTATTATTCAGTATTATCTATTATACTAGTTTGCCGTTAGTTTCCATCATTTAACATGAGAAAAACTTTCTATCTACTGCGCATATAACTGTAATTCCATAATTTGATGAGAAAACGGTTAAACTTGAATTTTCTTCTTGAAACTTTATCGACTGAGGTATGTTTGAGAAAAAACTGTTTTTGGTTTTCTTTGTTTACGCCAATTGCCATGGAAACATCGTTTGGCATAAAACTGTACTTAATATACCCGTCGAAAACGTTATTGATTTTTAACCGATAATAACTCAATTTCGGTGTGCTAAAATAAGTTCCAAACCGGTACAAAACAGTTGTCACAAATGAACCAAAATTGCATACATTTAAAACCTAACTCTCTCTTCTCCCGTTTATTTAACCTCCCCTCCAATAGTCTTCTTCACGGTTACCAGCACCATCTTGAAAGGTAGCCATGCCTTTACATCGAAGCGAGACAACCGTTGAGCCGTGCAATGATAGATACCTGTGAATAATTGTCTGTAGGTGTGAAAGAAGGTTTTCTATCATTGCACGCTCAACAGTCGTCTCGCTTCGATGGAAAGGCACGGCTACCTTTCAAGATGGCGCAGGTAACCGTGAAGAAGACTATTCAGTCTTGCTTCTTGTTACTCTACACATAGCTAATACTACTAACTACTACTAACTTTGCTTTACATAACATAGGTGATAACACACTGTCCGCCATTGTAGCGTTTCTAAAAGTCTACTTAAAAACGTGAAAAAACTTGAAAAAACTTAAGATATGCATTTAGCATATGCGAAATAAACAGTTGTGTAAAAAGAAATTTAAYACCGTAAAAAAGTAGGTGAAACAACTTCCTAACTTACGTTTTCTTTATACGAAATAAAGCAAAACAAATCTTCGTGACTATCAGTTTCAGAGATYTAATCACTTAGTAGGAAGAAACTGAGCATGCCTCGATATGAAATGGCACATTGAACCTTGAACTTACCTATAGCTATTAATCGTATCGTTCAAGTCYTGTTGTACACGACGTCCATCTATCCCGCTCGCTTTCTTGCATTAAGAAGTTTATTTTGTTTGTAGTTTATCAATGCACAGTTAGTTTTTAAATGTTTTGATTGATGGCTGTCCTCAAAAGTTAATTAAGCAGATAGCAGTCCCTTGAAACAAAAGACTGTTGAACTGTGTAGAGATATAAATAATATATTATAGAAATAAAACAAAAATTGTTCCAAAGCAGGTGCGACTCTGAATGGTGCTTGCTGGCAATTGCTTTCAGTACAAATGTTAAAATTTGAAATGSTAGTAGATTTTGGAAGGATAGGAGATTTTAAATGCAGATATATTTCATAAATGATAAGGCTGTCTTGAATCTTCTTCAAACAAAACTGATTATAATATATTGAATCAGTGTTTACTATAACAAATACACTAAACAAAGACTTGTCGTATTTAAAAATTGAAACGTGTTTTATGAATTTATTATGATTCTAGTCTATTCTAGTTGAATTTTAAACTTTTTTTGTTTAAAAATTAGCACAACCAAGCCGCCAGTCATGGAGAACACCTGATCATAACGTCAGCCTTGACGGTGGATGGTGAACTCTGGAGTACAGTACAGTTAATTTCTCTTTTAGACGGCGATGCCGTCAGAGAGTCGGGTTGATCTTAGCAATCAACTCGGCGAAGTCATTTCTCTCCTGCGTTAAAGAGCAAATCAAATCGTCAGTGCGGCGGGCAAAAATGCGCATTCTCTACGTAGATTGTCTTCCAACTTACTGCACTGCCTGGATGTTTTGTTGCTTTTGTTTTGCTAGCCTACATGAGCGATGTTATTGTAAAAGGCATTTAAGSTGATAAGGTCGCTTTTGTTCTCGAGTCTCTACGCTAGAGATCACTGGTCCCTGGGTGTTCTTTAGGGCCTATTTGCTTTGACAACACTCATATATATAAAAACATAAAAGTCTTGCATCATGCTTACCGACCTCATTGCATTTTGTGGAACAGGATTGAGATATACGTACTAGGGTTGCATRAAATACTTTTAAAAACTTCAATGTTATAAGATTTTTTTATTGACTTTTTAATTAAAGAAGACCATTAATATCCCCACCACTTCGATTTCCACTTGTAAAGAATGGGCTATGAACCCATTGAAGGAGAATATTTGAAAGTTTTCTTTGGCGGATGAGCCTCGTCTGAGAGCGTGAAAATATATACTCTGCACTCAAATGTTTGGTATTTGTTCAAGGATTGTGCATGTATGTCGTCCGATACTAGTACTGTTTAAATAATAATAATAATAATAAATACAACGTACGTATAGCATGAAAGATTTTGAAAATCAAGTAGATGATCCATCTGCTAGTGAAAAAAAGAACAAAATCATGTCTTAATCAAGACAGCACTTCTTTGCAGAGACACTGGAGAAGTCTGGACTAAAAACTCTTCTTGGTATCAGAAATGAGATTGCTTGACCCAAAAAGGGATATAGCCATGTGACTTTTAAGTTCAAATCACACAAGATGTTTACTGCTGACCGGCGTACAATGAAAGACAATGAGATGAGAGTGACACTAAGTCGTCTCTGGTTTGTCTGAAGCTTCAATTCGCTTCACTTCGGACACCTTGGTCACCCTGTGTCGTTTTTTCTTGAACCATTGGAAGGTGACCAGTACAAGCAAATCAACGAACTCGACCAGTGTCAAAATACTACATCCCAAGTAAAGACCCATGTTACCACCAACATTTCCTGGAAATATAAGAGAACTCATTCATGACATTGTAAGGACGTTATTCCACAGGCACAGAACTCAGAATGTTCCGATTTGAGAGGAAATGAAGCGATAAGTACTCTCCCGTTGGAGTTTCCGTGCATGAGACTCACCAGCAAGATCCAGGTCATCAAATGCAGGCATTTCTTGTATTATTTCAACGTCCGTTGTAGCAAAGAAGATAGTCACACGAGCATATCTACCTCTGCAACAAAATAAACGACATTTCAGCCAATATTTATTGATCCATCGTTGCGATTAAAAACTGAAACCCTTTATGATAGACAGATTAACAAAAAGAAGGTTCATATAGTCAATCGAAACTAACACCAAAATTGAGTGTGCAAAGGAAAATKATTAGAATTGTCAAATAATTGAAATTCATGTACTGTTCAGTCCAAAAAGGCCTGGTTTCCACATACAGCACTACTGAGTGTTGTAACAGACTTGTACGATAAAATATTAAAACCTAAACCTTTTACCTAAACCACTCCAAGTAGGACTCGTTATTATTACTCTTGAACTTGAACTCGTTTTCAAAATCATATTTTCCAGTACACAAATCAGTCCCGTTTTGAGTGAATTCGTCCAATGCTGATTTTGAAGGATAGACTATTGAAGAGCTTTGCACGTCGTAAATCACATTGGTACAGTTTGTTGGGCATGCATTGTCAGCGGAATTGAAGTTGCCTACCGATGAGAAAAGATACTCATGATGGCCGTGTGAAACAACGATAAAAAATAAAAAA